AAGAATTTAATTCCATAAAACCATGAAGAGAAATTTGAAAATCATTCACATGGTACTTTCATACGGCTTTGTCTCCCTAAATATGTAGATAACGTTGCTTCAAATCCATTTTCTATAATTTAAAGATCAGAGTCAAAATTTAAAACCACATTTCATAGGACTTGCAATTACTATCCATTTTCTATTTCATTTTAATTTTAACAATTTATAATGAAATCCAAACACGCATCTGTGTTAAAAAATTATTATTTTTTAATAAATGCACACGTTTATGCATTTTCAACATGAAAGAGCCACGGAAGACGAGAGAAAGTGTTGTGTTATTTCCTAGCTTTGGCTTTTCACACTTCAATTCTCCATTTTGCCCTTGATGATCATGTACCATAAAAACCCTACCCAAGACCTGCTGGTGCTTCAAGACTTATAGTTCGCTTGAAAGACTAGTAGTCACATAGAGAGAGAGAGAGAGAGAGTTTTGAACATATTTAAGATGGCAGAAGTGATCCTCCACGTATATGACGTTAAAAATAATAATTCCGGCAATGAAACCCTAAATTTTGCCATCGTCCAACTCAACAACGCCTGTAAACAGGGCCTCTCTATCGGCGGAGTCTTTCATGCGGCCGTCCAGGTTTACGGCCATGAGGAATGGGGATATCGGCTGTGCGACGAAGGCTCTGGTGTTTACACCTGTCCAGCCGGCAAAAACACGATGTATACATACCGTGAAAGTATAGCTCTCGGAAGAACAAGTTGCTCCGTTGGCAAGGTGAGTCAGATCCTAAAAGAACTTAGCCAGGAGTGGCCGGGAAATAAGTTTGACCTGCTGGCGAAAAACGGTAACCATTTCTGCAATGAGTTGTTGCAGAGGTTGGGAGTGCCAAAGCTTCCAGCATGGATAAATAGGTTTGCTAATGTCGGAGATATTGCCTGTGAAACATCGCAAATACTGCAAAAAACCAATGAGGAAATGTTAACTGCCGGAAAGGAGGCTTATAAGAATGCCATCGATGCGGCTTTTAAGGCTCCCAAGTCTCTTCTTGGTTTAAGTAAAGGGGCTCGAGTTCGAACAGAACAATTCAAACCAAAGTTCTTTGATGGAAGAATTGCCGGACCTGATGAAGAAGCCAGCAAGAAATAAACATCAGGGGACAGTATATAACCCGGCTATGACCATATAGAATGATGGCTTAGTCGTGTCTTCATGTGTGTCCGTGTTCGTATTAGTGTTTGATGTGCTATTTTCCTTTTATCTCCAGCCTATTTCTCTTATTTTGTGTGAGTTGTAATGCATTATTGTATCAATGACATTTTAGCTTATCGCCTTCTTCTCTCCCCAATCTGTCGATGATAGTTTTCTTTGACCAACTTTTTTCACCAAATCAAATGCTCGATAAACCGCTACATTAGCGGCACATAAGAACTATGTTGGCCGAAGATTAAAACGATTAAGTTTTTTTTCCTTAATTATTAGTTGAGAAAGAAAAGATGATGGTTTCTAGTATTATGTTGGCCGAAAAATGCACTTCAATGAAAGAATATAAAGATTTTTAAGACTGCTAACCTTAGTTTTGCCTTAATTTGAGGTAGTTTTTTAGAGTGAAAAATGGTTCTTAGCTATTTTAATCTTTAAGACATCTCTCAACTCTTTTTTCTTCTTTTTAACTATTTTTCGTTTGTGTAAATGACTATTTATGGACAAGTTTTGGGAGCTTAATGGTCATTTTATGGCCGGCATTGTATTATCATTATGCTGAAAGTCATAA